ATAATTGCAACAAGTTTTCAACAAATAACACTTCTTGTTGAACTATGAAAATAAAACTTTTAAAATTGGTCAACTTTGAGAAGTCTTTTAAAAAATGTGCTTAAGTGTCTTAGCAAGTTTCATTAATTAATAAAAATTTTAGGGTGAAATATTTAATAAACTCTAGTAAAAAAGTAAAAACTCGCCACGAGTTTCTGGGACACACTGTATAGTCTTTCTGGTCAGAGTACAATAATTCCTGACTTACTTGATAAAATGCCTGTCAATATAACACAATTGGGTAATATTTGATTTTACTTTATGTATCTTAGGGGAGATCACGTGTTTTAATTAGTGGACTGTATTTTTGGTTGATTAATTTTCTTATCACCATAAAAAGTGAATGAAATTAGTATCTAATTTGTGATTGTATTCATACTCAAATTTACATTTCGTTACTCTCACACTTTTTGCTAGACCTATACCAATAATCAATCGGTATTTATATATGTATATTACCAAAAACACAGGCCTAAAAATTTTTTTTATTGGTGTATCAAATGTTAGAGCTGATTCTTATAGTATTTTTTGCGTCTGATTTCAAATCTGCAAACCATTTTTTGTATCAGCTCTAGTTTTGAACTTGGTAAGAAGTTGCCGAAAACCAGGTCCATTGTAGGTCGTCACGGAAAAGAACTTTTCACACTGTGTCAACTAATGTCCCAACTAAGGCCAAATGGGTCTTGTAAGTTTGTATGAACGAGTTGGCATATCTCATTAAAATAACATTCTGAATTGTATTACTCTTTTGTGTACTTTCATTCCTTATATATCATATATATCATATCTTGGAAACTGAAGCTCATAGAAAAAAGACAATATTATTTTTGAAATCAGCGCTCCAAATATACTTAAAACAGCATTAAAATCGTCTGCACCATTTTCTTGTTGGCCTGTGTATCAATCGGCACTTATATGTGCAACTACCAACCTCTAATGATCACCAAAAGTGCACCCCGTTTTGTTACATAAGTGGCTGGTCAAATCTTGACCATAACTAATATTGTATTTTGTTATACTGAAATTATTTTTGTGAGATTTACGAATCATCAGGGGCTTCAACCCCATAATGATCCATTCAGATGTTCATGAATGTTCTCTCTAATATCTTGTCCTCTCTCTCTCTGTTATTATTCAGAAGAGGGTTTGCTGTTATGAATTTCAAAATGGTTTGCTATAAATAACCAAGGTGTATAAATAGGAACGAAATATCATATTACCGTCGAGGTCCCGGAAGCAAGCACCTATTTTGTAACCGGAACAGGACGTCCTGAAAGGGATGCTTTGTTCGCAAGTGTTATATACTTCACCAATATAGATAGTGTTACGTAAGCTATCCACTAATATGACCTCGATAAGGTAACATATGGCTTCATTTGGGCATGGTTTTACAAGCTAATATTTATAGAGATACATTTTCTTGTTAAATATATGCAAAAATAATCGATACTCTAAATAAAAATGAACAAGGAAAATAAAAAATTATGTGAGTTTACTAATTATACTTTAATTAAAGTTTAAATTTGCAATTGGACTTTGTGATTATTAAGCTCTGGTATAAATAACAAATTTGCAAAGTACATTTTTACATATATTTTTACCAGCAATCAGAATCTTACGACCTATAAGCTGTTGAGCTGAAACTTTCCTTTATTTTGTATTCTTAAATAGTAACCCAATTGGTTATGGTTGATGGTTGATCCATCCATATTTGATGATTTTTTATTTTTAGAATTTATCTAATATGGCTGAGATTTTTTTTATTGGTGCTGCAATGCCGGATTAAGGGCTATTTTCACTTGGAAACATATGGCTATATATGAAATTTCTGAGTGAAAATCATTGTCACTGCTGCCTGACAACAGGCTGCTCAATGTGGGTATCGAACCCAGGACCTCTGAATCCATCCGGTCGATCTTAACTGCTTACCTTTTGCATATCTTTACGTTTCAAAGGTTTCTGAAAATTTTGACATACCTTAGAAAAAATGATGTATATGTGTGTGGTGTGTGTGTATGTTTAGATACAATTTTTCTTCAAAGATTTCTGGCGCAGAGATCAACCGACTTTTTTTTTCTAATTGAATGATTTAATTATTCAAAAAACATTCTATTCCTATTGATAAGAAGATGTGCTGATTAGTTTTTGGCAAATTCTGGTCTAGCCGTTTTGATTATATGGTGCAAAAAGTGCCAAAAACGGTAATTCAGTTTTTGAGAGCGTCGGATTTGAATTATTCTCAATACATTTTACTTGTATTGGCAATACACTTATTATTTGTGCTGACGAAATGAAGAATTGCTTACATTTTAGGGAGGTAGGTCTAGCGATTTCGGAGATACAGAGGAAAATGTAAAAAAATATATATTTGGCGGTCTAAATATTTATTAGACATATGAACATCAATTGGTCAGATATTTTATAAAGATTTTTAAACAGGAGTACTAATTATGTTACTTTTTTGGGCTCCGTAACTTTTAAAAACTATTCAAATAATTTTAAAATTTTCAGAATTTTTTTTTTAAATTTTTAAAAATATGCAAAATTTTATACTTTAAATACAAATTTTAAATTCACAATTCAGTTTAACAATGTATATTTTTAATATGCGTTATTGTAATTGGAAGAAATATATCCTCAGATGGATTCATTCATGGCATATCTTCTTAATGTAAACATTTTCAAGTGTTTTGTGCAATAGATTGCCACTGTATATTAGTTATATGATCGAGTACATATATAGTAATTAATTATCTTTTTGAAAAGATTTAAAATAATTGTTATTAATCATTGATTAATATTTATTTTGATTTTTTTCGAATATTTAATTCTAGCACGGGAGTTCATCAGCAATTTGCCTCAAGGCACGATGCCATGCACCACTAGTTTTATTATATATTACGTTTTCTTTTTTCTCAGAGGTTCCTATCTCGGGCAATCATCAGGTGCGTTAGGAGGTTCCGTATCCAACTTTCACGGCGGTGCATATGGAAGTGCATCAACCACCAATACAGGCGCAGTCTCATCAATCAGCGGTAGTACGAGGCACGCAGCGAGTTCTGGATCCGCTGCCACCAAAAAGCGGCCAATTTCTCCGGAACAAGTACTGAGGTTGTTTGGACCCCAAGGAACTACTTCCAGAACGGGTACGGAACGCATGGCTGGCAGAAGAGGCCCTTCGCCGGCCAGTAGTCCACCGAGTACGACGCATCAGGTATTATAAATTATAGACACCCTATTTCATTATTATAAACACCATGTATTTATTATTCTAAATACTAGGTTGTAAGTAAAAAATTTGACAAAGTTGCTGTTCGATTTTTAGTAGCGCTATAGCCTTAACAATTATTGTAGTCCCACGTGTAGAAACTAACCAATTGTTGAAGGACCAGATTTGGCAATTAAATTTGGATGCTATTCGCACTTTAATTAATTTACTTGAGTAATTATAATTTTCAAATCGTTAGCTTCAAACAAGTCCAGTATTAATCACTTGGTCATATCATTTTTGTTCCATCATTATATTGCATTTAATTAATGAATGAACCTTATTATGCCAAATATATTAAATTCATCTAATTAATTTTGTTTTTCAACTGGCTTTCAACATTTCAATTTTTGCATGTAATATGTAAATTGTCTTCAAATGCTTGTTGAATATGGAATATGTATTTTACAAAATAATTTAATAAGAAAGTATGCAAAATGCATTATTATCACGATATATATATATGACGATGTAAGATTTTCTTTGATTTTCCGCATGACAAAATTTGTTTTATTATCAAACATATCCCAGGAATTTCTGCTATATGAAATAACCAACAGAGCCCATTTATTTCACAGAATTTTATATATGAAATTTTATTATACCATGATATTGCACCAAACTTTTTTAGAAAAAAGAGATTTGCACTAAAAAAACAACTCTATAACTTGGGATATGATGATAAAATTCATATTAATTTCGAATAATAAAATTAGTTTTGAATACTTTGAAGTTTGTTAGGATCTCGTTTATCACAAAACTTCATGCATACGAGTTATTTCTATGAAATTTAGTATTTTTTACTCATTGCGATCTGAAAGTTTGCAGATAATAAAATATTAACGTGGAGTGTTTGCTTCTGACAAAGAACAATCGTGAACTTTTGCTATATTTCTGCAGGAACTGAAATGAATTTAATTTGTTCATTTAAAGTAGAGTTTAATTATTTAATAAATACGATTGTTGGTAGTTGTTGGAATATTTATAATTTTTAATTGGTTTTTTAACCAATTTACTTCATTTGATTACTCTAATCTATAGTTTTTTGCAGTTGCATTGGTATATATTCATTATTTGTGGATTACGTCAATTTTCTAAATTTTTTAAATTCTTTGAAAATTTTAACTTTTGAGTTCTCTGCATTATAGCTATATTTGATTTGTAAGCACATCCCCAGAGCTCAATTCCGTAGGTCCAGATTGGTTTAATAATTGATTTATATAGCAGCAACTTATTTTCAACAGAGAGCTGAGACTTTTTACGCAGTAGCCATTCAAATTCTTTCATTTTGATCATTATTTGCTGCTAATTTACGTCAAAAATAAAAAGAATTCAATTTATATTTAATATTTTATTTTTTTTATTTTCAGCCTACTACTTATCGTGAAAGGCCTATTATGCAACAATCTGTTCCCAACATTCACGAATTGTGTACGCGAACAGTTTCTATGAGTAGAGATCCTGTGGATGGTGCTCATGGTTTTGGAATCTGTGTGAAAGGAGGAAAAGATGCAGGTTAGAAATTTATATATATATATATATATATAATATAATATAATATAATATAATATAATATAATATATTTAATCATCACGTAATGATTCTATTTGCTGTTGAATGTATACAATACAAATGAAATATTTCTAAAAAGAACATCATTCATATATTGCAACTTACACACGGTATAAATTGAAAATTCTGTATGCTGCAAAAGGATATTCTGTGAACCAATTAACATTTATTTTATGACCTTGTTTTATCATATATGGCTTAGATAACAGCAATAAACTTTACAATCTATTCTGCAATAAAAGTCAGGACTATAGTTTTAATACTGTTTGGGTTTTATGACTTCAAGTCGACAGCTTGCTTATGACTTGGATTTACAATAGGTAGCTTTTATTCAATATCATTTCGTATTTTTAAAATTGTTTCTCAATATAGAGAAAGATACTTTCACATCTATAATTTATAAGAGCTAGTTTCTCAGCAACGTATTTTTATGCAATGGTAATAAGAAACTTAATAAAAAGCACATGATTTTTCATCACAAACATAAAAACATTAATTTAAATTAATTAATAATAATAAAACATGCTAATAAAAATGTAATTTCACCAATTTCAAAATTTCTTCATATAAAATCGAAAACATTTTTAGGGCAAATACTACTACCTATATGTGTTATTTATTATTTTGTATTTTACATTTATATACAAAAGGCCATATAATATATGTAAATAATTATATCATACACTGTTTATTCATACACATATTTATCATTTAAAATATAAAGCAAGAAAGTGGCTGACTCTCAAAACAACAAGAAGAAAATACATGCATGTCAACATGACATTTATCACAAAAATACCTTTTTTCGCGTCGCGTCATGTGTATATATTATAAATCACAAGCACGAAAATTATTTTTCCTGTATAAACACTAATTTCCCTTCAGACTGAAAAGTAATGGATTTTTTCACTTCGTTGAGTTTCTGCAGTCTTTTTTGTTTGCCAATTCTAGCATATGAATGAGGATGTTTTGTTTTTCTTATAGAGCTACATGTTTTCTATATTGAATCAGTATATATTTTAACCCTTTCCACTCGAATGCCGCCGCTCTGGCGGCAAAATACATATAAATCTCGCAATTCGCGAAGAAAAATTCGACAAAGCGTTAAATGTTCGATGTAGCTAGAAAATCTTTCTAGTATCTAATACACGATATGAATTAGTATTGCAATTCAATTAGTGAAAAACTTTACAAAAGGGCTTTTCTTGTAGAGTAAGTTATAGTAACCAATCGTAAAATATTTTTTTGCATATTTTTACGTTTCAAATGTTTCTGAACATTTTGGCATACCTTCGAAAATATGGATGTATGTGTGTCTGCGCATGTATTTATGTGTGTTCGGATACAATTTTTGGTCCACGATTCTTGAAGCATGGATCAACCGATTTGAATGATTCAAAAAACACTCGATTCCTATTGACAGGCAGAGAAACTAGCAGTTTTTGATCGATTTGGAAAATTAAAAAAAAATCACTTGTATTTATGAAATGAAGAACTAATTAAATTGTTGGGAAATCTAATAAATCCAATAATCCAATAAATAACATTAAAATGGCATTTGGGGGGTTAAAAATAATCAATAGATACATGCACAAATTCTCAGATATTTTATAAAAATGTATATACTAAGTTCAAATTTTGTTAAATTTCTTTAAGTTTGTTGGATCACTTACAAAAATCACTTGTATTTACGGAATGGAGAACTGATTAAATTGCTGCGAAAGCAGGTCCAGCGGTTTTGCAGATCCAACAAAAAACGTTAAAAACTGCCCTTCAGCGGTTAAAAATAATCATTAGATATATATATATATATATATATATATATATATATATATATATATATATTAAATTCTCAGATATTTTATAAAAATTTTAATATGTTCAAATCTTGTCTACATTTCTGTAGGTGTGCAAAATGTTTCAAATTTAGTATATTTTTTTCCAGGTGTCGGTGTATATATTTCCCGGGTTGAAGAAGGTTCTGTAGCAGAAAGGGCCGGACTGAGGCCTGGAGACTCCATACTAGAAGTGAATGGCACGCCTTTCACTGCAATTTCTCATGATGAAGCTCTTAAGGTTTGTTTTAAACAAAATATTATTCAAAAGATAAATATAAAAATTTTGGCACTACCAATCAGTGACACATTCACAAATGCTTATCTATTACAACAAATGCTTATATATAACATATTTTTTTATTTCTGCTTTTAATATCCGTAGCTATATATGATTTTTATTTCATTTTAACCATTAAACTACAATTTAAATCATAATTGACAGCAATGCGGCTTTGTGAACGTAATAGTGCAGAAAAGCTATTATTTCAAATACTGGGAATCCATTAAAATAGTAATAGTTATCGACTTATACTTGTCGAGTTAACGGATGTCTTTTAAATTATTCAAAGTCACTTATTTATTTTTAGTTCATTGGACGTAGTTGTTGGTTACTAACTTTGAATTCAATTTATATCTTCGCTATATATCAATAGGGTGAAACGAGTTTTAAAAGTGAAACAAAGGAGAAAAATATAGATTTTTTAACGATACTTTTTTTAAACTAAAAGGTGAAAGTTTTGGAGCTAGCCATCATCTTAATTTTCACGACGTCTCGATCAGGAGACAGAAACGGAAAATTATCAATATTCATAGCAAAAGTATTTTTTTTTTTGTTGGTTTTGGTTTTGAGCTCTTTTATTTAGTTTATGATACCGTTTATGAATCTTTTATTGTTTTCAAACATTCATATTCCATGAATAACTTTATTCAAGTTTTTCTGCATTTTAGTTAAAGAGAAAAAGGTTGAGAATATTTTAGCATTTGTTGCAGACTATCTTATATGTGCGAACGTTTCTTATCCCTTCTTCTTTCTTGCTCATAAAAAATTTAATTTGGAACGACATTACTCGCCAGTCCATCGCACTTTCAGGAAAAATCAATATCTAACTAAAAATATATTAAATCTACTTTAGAACTTTAGACAGTTTTTAATCGTATATTTGGAATCGGTTTAGTAGCAAGCTGACGATATATGTCCAGTTAAATTATAGAGATAATAGATATCATATTAATATATTAGAAATCAGATCATTAGGACATATTTGAAAAATGGTTAGGATACTGTGAATATGATTTGATTTGTTTGATTATTTATTTATATTTTTTTATTATTTAGTATAAAATTTTATTTATCATATAAGTTGCATATTAAATGTTAACATTTTGTTTTCATTATGAGTAGAATGACAACAAAAAAGAAAAATATTACATCTGGAAACCACTTTTAAACCTGGTATAAGCAGATCTTAATTCCAATTCCAATTCAATTTTAAATTCGACTTTATCAACAACCTGTTTGAAATTTGAAATTCTTAGAAATGGAAATAAATATATCATTTTTGTATCAAATCAAAAAATTTTGAACCAAAAATTAAAAAGAAAAAAAATTTGATGCGTTGAAACTGTATGTGCGTAGAACATTTACTATGCAAGGCACGATATTTTAAATAGTGAAAGAAAACTAATATATTTTATTTTTTTTGTAGTTGAATATTGTTTTTTATTAAGGTATATTCTTATCAGATATTGAACCTTTGTTGCTATTTTTAATGCTTCATGCTCTTCATCTTTTTATTCAAAAAAACGCTTGAGCTCATATTTAGATTCATATTCCTACATAATATATATTTCTGTAGAAAATGAGATAATTTGGTTACAGGAGAAAGCTACGTTATTATTATATTTTTAAATTAAATTATAGGTTGATTATCATAATTTTAATTAAATTAATCATGTAATACAATTTGGAAATTATTATTTTCAATAATAATAGAAAAAGAGCTATGAAGTATAAAAACTAAAAATAAAAAATAAAATACAAACATTCAAAGTTTATTATTTATATATTTCAGATAAATTAAATATAATTATTTTTATGTACATAGTTATTTTTGTATAATATTGACTTTGTCCTAAAATAAAACATGAGGCAATTTTCCGCAATTAAGTTGATACCATTATGATTCAAAGTTTTGATGAACTGCAGTGAGAAAGGTGCGGCCTCGGAAGGTGTTCATAAATAAACTTTTCTTAAGGGGTGAATCTAATTATGATCTTAGAAAATGGAAGTTTTCGGTCGCCCGACATGTCGATCAATACTGTTTAGCATGGCTTTAATGTTTTTGTTCCTGCAATAAATTTAGATGAGATTCCTATATGATTGTGGCTGATAGATATTGAGACTGAATTCATTTAATTATCATTATTTATTATATTAGGTAGGGCGGGGCACAAAGTTACATTTTGACTTTCAATATAGTATAAAATAATTATCATCTGTCTGTTTTTCCCCATGGGCGGATATATATATATATATATATATATATATATATATATATATATGTATACATATATAAATATATATAAATTCTATAGCTATGTTTACATGTAAAGGACTGCACATTACACTTCCATATTTCATCTATACCTCTCAAAAAACAATCACGCACTCACTAAACCTCTTTCTATGTTGTGCTTGTAAATTCTTCTGTCTCTTCACTTTATTATTCTGACCACCATTCTGATGGACAGAAATGTACACAGATGCTGAAGTCATGCAGGCATCTAAGTATGACAGTACGAAGTCCACCTTCTTTGCCCATGCATCTGCAACAGCAGCCGTCTCTTCAGCAACAACATGTCAGCATACCATCGTCGCACGTCGGATTGCCACCAATTGGCGGTGTCTTGGGAACAAATTCTGGAACCAATCCTGTAGTTCTGTCTCCGAGCGCACCTATTCCTGTCGGAGCGCCTTTTGGTGGCAGCGCCCCGGGATACGGAGCAACTGTTAGGCAAACGTCATGCTCGTGGATGGACCGTCAAGGGAGACCGGTGAGTGTAATACTTTGTACTAGTAATTGAGTAGATTAACACTAGTTTCGAATTCGATCCAGATGTCGGCATGCTTGATATCAATCAGTAGTGATGTCAGGTTTTTACTTGAGATTATTGATGTCAAATATGATCTGAAGTGAAGAGGTTTTTTGGAAGCTTTTATGCAACATATATGCACTGTACCTATAAGTTTGACAAAAAGAGGAATAGTTAACGGCTGTATTGCCTTCTCAAAATTTACCAGTTAAAAAATTTACAACAAAAATAACTTACACAGCATTATACGTCTTGTATATTTTTAACTCATGAAGTAAATAGAGATCTTAGTTCCTACTTTAATAATTCCACATTTGAAGAAGAAATGATAATAGAATTAGTTCAAACCTGAATTTCTAAAACCAGAGGTATTTTTTTATCAATTATTATTGTTGCTTTTTCTGATAATTATGTTCATGTGTCTTGTCGTAAAGATTTCAAAACCGAACGTACAACGAAATAAATGTAAATTCAAAGTTCGTTTTGCGCATGAAAGAGCTTCGTGTCAAAAGCATTCGTGCTACGCCGACCATATAAATTTTCTATGTGTGCATAATGGGGAGATTGCGGTCTTTCAGGGTAAATATATGCTGATTAGGTTCTGCTTGAAGCTGGTCAGCAGTAAAGTTTATCTATTTATTTGTGTAAATAACACGACAACGTCTTTGTTATTATGCGGCAATATTTTATTCTATTCTATTATTAGTTATTTTTAAAATAATCTGCGAATATTCAGCAGAATGATGTAAACCCTAATAGCTTATAGATAGCTGTACATATTTTTCCTCACTTCTTAAGTTGATGGCAATGTCAATTTTGATAAAAATTATATATATATATATATATATATATATATATGTATATATATATATATTATATATATAACTATATATCATAATATAGTTTTTTCAATATCATTCAAGAAATATATAATTTCTTTGTTTCTTTTACCATGACCAATATTTTTTAAATACATTAACAATGTAACTTTATACAACAATCTTATACACGATGGAAAAAGATGCTTTAATTTGGCCCTTATGATATCAATCATGAGAAGTTTACTATGCATATTCAGATATTTTATATATAGAAAAATTAAATTTAAAAAAATCCAACAAGATCCAAGGACCAGTGTTATAATGAATTAAATAATGAAAGGCTAGAATTTTTTTGCTTTCTAAAATTTGCTCATGGCATAGAATCCCCAACATAAAAAAATAAAATGCTTCAAAACCCAAATAATAATATTACACAAATAAAGAAAAATTAAAATATATTTTTGCAAGAAATACTGAATCTAATAAAATTTAAAAAAATGGAATACTGGCGCTGAGGATATATATATATATATATATATATATATATATATATACATATATATATATCTGTGTGTGTAACATATATCGTTTATCTTACATTTTCAGGTTTCACCACCACCAGACTCTAGTATGGGAATATGGTCAACTCGAGATAGAAGTGTACGAAGGGTAGAACTCTGCATTCAGCCTGGTCAATCTTTGGGTTTGATGATCAGGGGTGGAGTAGAATATCAATTAGGAATATATATTACGGGAGTCGATAAAGACAGCGTCGCTGAGAGGGCCGGATTAATGGTGAGTTGACTCATTAAAAGTTAGTAATGACTAATGATAAAATCAATATTAAAAAATATCGTTATGATTTTATACATTCTGATATCTAAAGATTCCATTACTAGAATATCCTGTTCCACTGCAAAATGGACCTCCCAAACAAAATTGGATATTGCATTTCTCAATATCATCATTTATTAACGAAACGAACATACTCTGATGCCACATCTAATTGGCAAAGATATTTTTTTCTCATAATAATGAATTTAATTGTCTCAGAGGCAATAATTTTGTCTACTCTATATTGTATCTATATTTTAAGGTTTATGTCAAATAATCAATACTACTTCAAACTGTCTCCATATTTACCATCAAGTTCAATCATCTGGTGTGATCTCTTGCACATGACCATTTGCTTTCCTGAAAAACATTATGTATTAATATACCTTTTAATAAATAACATATTATATATAACTATTTGGTAAGAAAATAATACAAAATTTTTCCTAATTTTACAGATTGGTGATCAAATTTTAGAAGTAAATGGTCAATCTTTTCTGGACGTGACGCATGATGAGGCTGTGGGACAGCTGAAATTTCATAAAAGGATGTCACTGGTGGTTCGGGATGTTGGAAAAGTTCCTCATTCCTGCACTGCCTATGACAATGAACCCTTCGATCCCGCCAGTCCGACGTTAGTATGAAATTATTATATTCGTTAAAATTTCGTACACTATACTCCTATAGATAATTAATTTGAAGGACTTTCAAAAGATATTGGAGCATTTTTATTTATATCACTATATTTTGAGATAATAAGTGAAATTTCTTATTGCATGATATCTGGTAATCTAAGACAGATCGAAGAAATATGTCAAATTGATACTTGTAAATCAAATTCACAAAAAATTGGTAAAAAAATTGCCTGCATATTGATTTTTTTTTTCAAACTGTACGAATTACGCCTGACCAACGATTATATATTCTACTGTAGTTTGTTCTTTATCTGCATAACAATTAGGATATAATAAATATGAGTTCAACAGCACTCTAAACCTTCCAATTGTTTTAGAAGCAACAAGGACTTATACCACAGATTTTTTATGAATCTAGTCGATAATTTATTTATTATATGATTCAAATTATGTAAAATAAAAACGAAAGCTTTTGGTCAATTTTGTTGTACATAATTGTGTCCGATTTTTGTTGACTGTATTTGTGTGGAATCAATCTTGTGTAAAACTTAATTAAAAACATAGATAATATAATTAACAAATTAGTCATATTTTATTTATTTTTAGGTCTAGACAACCTAGGTCGCCTGCTCAACAAATGGTAGAAGAAAAAGCTCGTTCTTTACTACCCCGAGCAGAATTCAGTGCACTATGTTACTACACGCAGCAATATTGCTCAAGAAGTATGACTTGCGAAGCCTTAGTCACAGTACTGCAAGAAATGCTAAATACACCAGATAAGGTAATAATTGAAAATTCTTGAACCGAACCCATTAAGTGGCATTATACACCATTTACTAATTTTTTAAAAAAACCTTGAATGGATTTCAAAAATTTTATATTTATTTCATATATCACATAATCATATCAATCAACCATTATAATATTAGGCAATTTTTGTTACCCTGCGATATGATTTTGTAGTAGGTATAAAATTGAATTTGATTTTTAATTGAGAATTTTGATTGAGTGACAAAATTGTAGATATTATATATACTATAAATACTATATACTATATATATACAATACATATATATATATATATATATATATATATACAGTAAACCCTCGCTTTACGCGGCAAGTGCGTACCGTGCAGTATGGGAACCGTGCTATAAGAAACTCGTATTTAACATACAATTCAGGCTAATTCGTAGTGCGTTCTATGGAACCTTACATAGTGCAGTATGGGATCCGTGCTATGAGAGACTCACAGTTGGTACAAATCGCACCATTTTTATCGCGCTGTATGGAGACCAAGAAATATCACTTGAAGTAGGAGTAATACGGACGAAATGACATTTATGACATTGACACGATTGACACCTTATTCAAAAATTGGCGCGACGCAGTAGTCAGCTCAAACGTGTTCTTAGGCGGCTATTATATAAACAGGCATGTCTAAAAGATAAAAGTCAATAACAAAATTTACATCAATACCCTTTTGCACAACGAACTTATGGGCTGTTGACCAAATACCGTGTAATAAGAAGTCCGTGTAGTCGGAGGGATGTCGGATTTTTAGCTCCGTGTAGTATGGAAACCGTGCACCCAGAGTGCCGTGTAAAGCGAGGGCCTACTGTATATATATATATATTATAGGTACTTCTGCTCTCCAAAGCAATCGTTTTTCCCAATTTAAATATCAACCTTAGAAACATGCACTTTGTATGCCATGTTTTATAAGAAAATTACTTCAAGTTCTTGGATTAGAAAATTGCTATTTATTAACTCCCATAGCCTGCATTTACTTCAGTATTCCGCCTCTGATTTTTATACAGATTATTACCTACTAATTTTACCTTGGCCTTCATTATTTGATTAAAAACTGCTTGAGATGAAATTTTTCTTATATATATATATATATATATATATATATATATATATATATATCTTGATAGTTTTTATGACGTTGAAACATATTTCAAAGTAACTAGCAGCCCATTCGTCGAATTAATTTGATTTCAGTCGAGTATTTTGCTCAGTATGGGCGTGTTTCTTGCCTCATAATATTACATTTCAAAATATTTAGTCAAATTAGTTTTCAAATCTTTTAGTTATTCATAATTTTTTCCAAATAAAATATTTTTTTCTAATATGTTATAAGTTTAATTTTTTTAAATAATTTTTTTTTTTTTTTGAGTTTTTGTCCGGTGTTGCTGAATGATGACACGCATCTTGTATCGAAACGTATAAATAAAAGTTTTTAATACTTTATACCTTTTTTAATTCGACGAATGGGCTGCTAGTTACTTTGAAATATATATATATATATATATATATATATATATATATATATTTATATATATTCTAAAATTTTTCCTATACATAATAATTAGAGGCATGCTGCATAACCTGCTTGTATGAAAGTAAAGTAATTTTTGATAATCTTTTTATTAATTAATTTAATCAACAGTTAATTGAACAATAATTACATAATTACATAATTAATACAGTGCTAAACAATTTTTTTCTATTATTGATAAAAAAGTTTCAGGCTTTATCCATTTTGTATAAGCAAATAATGGTTATTATTTATATTAGCATGAGGTTTGAGTGAAAATTTATCAAATTGTTCATTATTCAATATCATACTTATTGTCTAAAGCAAAAATAATTAGAAATTATATTAAAACTAGATGACCCGACAGACGTTGTCCTGTACCCATGACTACAATTTTTTAATATAATATACTAATATTTACAGTTCACCCAAAAATAATAATTATTGTTTTTTAAATTACTCTTCACACCAAAATGCATATACATTTATAATATGAGCGATGTTAAATGTAGAACGGGCTGTTTTTAGAGTTTTAGGCATTTATTCGTTTTTTTCTCGCCGTAAAAACCATTTATAACAGACATTTTAAAAAAAGAATTGGCCAAATTGGTCCAGGCGTTTGTTGAGTTATGCGCTTACCAACACATCTTGCTATTCATTTTTATATTATAGATATGAATCATATTTTCGGTCTAACAATTTGCTCCCAATAACCAATTTTTTATTAATAAGACTTTTACCAAATTAATGTTTTTAAAAAAATATATCTACTACTTATTATGGTATTTTTCGTTATAGGAGCATGATTTCTTGATAATTTTAGAAACTGATGTTAGCTATCCCGAAATACATTTTAAGATTATTTTAGGTTAAACTAAATATCTTGTATTACATTTGTATAGCATTTGGTTTTTCTTTTTTCAGTTAACACTGATGACAGAGCTCCGGGAAATCATTTTACCAGAAGATCGAGTAAGATTTGATGAGCTAGTATACAGAAGGGATGCCCACATCGATCCTCATGCTCGGGTGAGTATAAATTGATTTTCAAAGACAATATTTGGCCAACGGATTACGTACATAATCTTAGATTTCGACGCTTCTACATGTAATTCAATGCAGATTTGCCTCTTATGAATAATGGTTTTAGTTAAATTGAATTTGCACCCTTGCGATTGCATTTGAATACTTGATTAAAACTGAAATCGCATCAATTTAATGTATTTTTAAAATTTATATCATTATATCATATTATATTATTTTTTACATATTATATTATATCTTACATATACCAATGATAAACTAGAAATCGAATTAATTATATTAATATTAATAAATTCTCATCAATAATGATGTTAATGATATCAACAATTTTATAAAAATTAGTCACAGTATTTAGAAAAAAATAGAAGGAACGTATAAAAAATAAGCAAATTTAGAACAAATTCCACCAAATTTAATTTTTTGTTTTCTAATTGAATTTGTAACCTCTTTACCAAGTATTTTAAACGATCACTTATTTTTTGTTCAAATTGGAGTAAAAAATCATATTAATTAAATGTTTCTGCAGAATTCCTTATATGCATTGTATAAATGGTTGCTAAAATTTTCGGAGAAATTTGATTAATAGAAAAATTAATCTTGCAACATTTATGAATGCTCTAATAATGATGAGATCTCATAATTTTGATATTGTGATAATATAATTTTAACTATCATACTCTAACATAAGTACTATCAATTTTCAGCAGTGTTATTGAAAATATATTTTTTTGCTAACATATTTTTATAAATATTAACTTATTTGTTTTTTTTTGAAATTTATAAACTAAATATTTTATCTAACTAAACACAAGCAGACATTCTAATTAATTTAAGAAAATAATTTACAGAGAAAATTGGAACTACATGGGCAGCACGATCTTTCCGGGGTAAGTTTTGTTTTTTCAATTTATTCTCTTGTTAAATTATTAATTATATTATCTCTGTAAATTGAATTTATCTGTCACGAATCTTTGTAATGTTTGTTGAATGATTCGACTGTGATTATTTATTCATCTGTCTTGTATATAGCACTTCGATGATAAGTTTCATTGCAACTTGTAGTTTTACTTTCATATTTTTGCATCTGTCTTTAAATTAAGAAATGTTTACTAGAAATTGGTTTAAGATAATCTTCATTTTTATGCACTTCTAAAGAAGAGTTCTCGATAAATTATAATAGAAAATGAATTAATGTTACTTTTGAATTACTATTACTATACTATAATAATCTTTATGCCTAATAATTACCTAATTAGTATATTGGGAAACCTTGTGATTTATTTATTTATTATTTAATGGACGTTGTATATAAATAGAGGTTTTGTTAATATTTCGAACCTAGAAACCTGATAATTTCTTTTTTTATTAAAATGCAATAAAGACGGCGAATGTAATGAAGTATACTGAATGTGTGTTGCCTTAAATTGAAGATTTTTAATAAAAAGGGCGTATTTAAATTATAATTAAATGAGGTTTTCAATCAATCGATGTGAATTGATCTGTATGGTTATACTCCTCTGTAATACGTTTTATATGACTATGAATCAATTTTTTATATGACATTTTTATATGACTATGAATCAATCATACAATAAATCACATGATTGCTTCAAATAACTTCTCAGTCAACAATTTTTTTTAGTTGATCATGTGTCTACAATTAATTAATTAAACTAGTGATGTATAGTTCCTTAAGGCAAATTGCTGGAACTTCTCGTACCGTAATAAAGTATTCGCAAATAAAGTCGAAAATGCAATAACAAAGTCTAAATTATTCATTTGAAATATATTAGTGAGTTTTAGAACTTTAGCCAGAATTAAATTAAAATCCGAATTATTTTCCATATTTAAAAAATAAGATTTTTAGAAAATTTAAAAAAAATGAAAAAAATCGTTTTCCAAAAGCAATCGTTTCATTAGCACAAGCAAAAAGTTTTTTAAATCATTCAAATCGGATGCTTAGTTTCCTCGAAAACTGCCATTTTTTTGCACATTTTGCTCGGTGTCTCCGAAACAGCTGGACCTGCCTTTGCCAAGAACTAATCATCACTTCTCCTGATCATTACGAATTAAATGCTTTTTGGATCATTCTAATCGGATGCTCCGTTCTCTCAAACAATCGATTTATATTTTCTGCACTCTTTGCTTCGTATTTCCATAATGGCTGGACCTGCCTTGCTAAAAACTAATCAGCACATCATCCTATCAATAGGAATCGAATGTTTTTTGAACCATTCAAATCGGTTAATCTGTGCGCCCGAAACCGTGGACGAAAAAATGAGTACACACAAACACAGACACGCACACACACACACATCCATTTTTTCTGAGGTATGCCAAAATGTTCAGAAACCTTCAAGACGTGAAGAAATGCAAAAAAAATCATTTTTGATTTTCGGGCCATTACTATAACTTACCCTAGGGGAAGTTAATTATTTGTTCATGAAGTGCAATTGATCCAACAACTTCCTTGCTAGACTATAAGATGGATAGCCTGATTTTATACTTCAGACCGAATCTCTGACTCTTTTTTCAGAGATTTCAACCAATTTATCCCGAATATTTTTGGGTATATACTGTCTAAATATATTTTGCAAGTTTTGCATTTATATGCAAAAAAAATCAGGAATCAGGAATGTAGACTACTACATTCTGACCATTAGATTGAACATGATAATGATTTAAATTTGAAAACTTTCATCCTTCATTCAATTGAAGCATTCCCAGACTAATAACGTATGCAACATTTTATACTTTACTAAATTTTCATAATAAAACTATATTTTGAAGTAAAGTGAAGTCAACATATATCGACTTTGGTGTACCAGGCGAACAGACGCTTTTTGAAATGGGCGAAGTAAGTGTTTGACTTGCCTCGAGCGCACATGCGTGTTCTATTTGCCTCCAAGTTATATACATACATGTGCCATGTTTCATTAAAATAGGGGAAAACAGCATTGAATGGAATATTAATGTAAGACCTAAACATGAAACAACATATTTTGAACTACATATTTTTATTACATTATAAATAAATTAATTTAATTTGAGTAATTTTACAAATACTTCACAAATTATACATACATACATACATACAAATATATGTATATTCATATATATATATATATACTAGTATAAAAAATATTTTGAATAATTCCAAATATTCGAAGATGTTTCTGTTATGCGAGGTACCATGCACTACCTGTTGTATTTTTTCAACATACATTCAATATTTTAATCATTGATAATTAATATTATTATCTTTTTTTAAAAATAATATAATAACTAATTTCTATTAATTTCTGTAAAAAAAATCTTAGAGGTATTAACAGTTTAAATGACAAAGATTAATTTTAGAATATTTATTTTTAAATACATTATTACATGATGTTGAATTTATGTATACTAATTAAAATAATTATCTAGAATTTCAATTATAATAATTAATACTTATAATAATGATGCAACTGTTTTCCGCACCACCCATGAGGTACAGTTGCTAGGCGCGTTTTTTTAATGTGGTATCGCCACAGAAATAGATACTTTTATTCGTATTTACGTATCTAACATTTCAGATGGAAATAGACATAGTGTAAATACTACTAAGTATCGATCTGTGCAGCCCTAATCCACCTAAACTAACTTATAAACTAATTATGCCTAACTTATAAGCTAATTATACCTCCTAACTGACAACGCCAAAAGAACCCCGCGAGATGACCTAATGTACCCAAAAATTTCGATTTTTAATGGAAAGAACCTTTCGACGAGAAAAATCAAAAATCTATATAAAAACTTTACTTTCGTATTGGAACCAATGATAATTGGAACGGTGATGATAAATTTACAAAAAAAAAGTATTTACATGATGTACCCCCCTCGATCCACCATGTAAACACTTAAAACTTCATAGGTTCCCAGCCTATGAAGCTTAGGGGCAAATCATTTTGTGGTTTGCAATTATTAATTAATTGATGTTGAGAAAAGCGCGAAAAATAAAAGAAAGGTTCTTCCGCACGCCACCCTTTTGAGCTCTAAACAAAAATACGCAAACAACCCCAAAAAATGGTACGACCGAAAGATCTGAACGTGAAAACGCGTCCCTTCTGATCCTAACTGATTATTGATATAACACAATAATAAAAATACAGTACACGTAACTACCTAATAATATAATATAACTAAAGTCTTCTCACATTTTATCTTCACTTCATTTATGTGTCCAATTCTGTTGTGGTCTTTTGTTTTATTCTGTTGGTCCTGTATTTTCTCGGTAAGCGTTTTTCCGGCATTTTCTTGAAAAGTTGTCGACATCTGTGAAATAAAAATTGATTAATTAATATATTATATTAATTTAATAATAAATCGCAAACTGTTAGACCAAAAATTTTACGTCAAAACACCTCTTAACTTGATGTTAACTGAGGGATCAATTCATAATAATGATACACTATAATATATAGAATAATAATTTAATATAATTAAAGTCTTTTCTTACATTTTATCTTTGCTTCATATCATTTAATTTATGCGCATATGCTCCAATCTGGTAGTCCGATTCTGGTGGTCTTTAGTACGCAATTTACTAGCAATCCTCTTGGAAAAATATCTGAAGCGAGATATAAAAAAACACAAATACCCCTAAAACTAGGGATTATTGAAAACGGGGCCCCGATAATAATAATATATAAATATTAACACTTATAACTAATTAAGGTCTAATTATAAATAATACGAGAAAACCTTTGCATACGCTGTCCTCCTGGAGTTAATTTAGCAGTCCTGGTGATGTGCGACGCTGAAATCCATTTGGTGCTCTTCCATCGATAATTATTTCCTTGAAGGCCGGTTCACACTAAAATAAATGTTTATTTAATTAATTCTATATATAAAATTTAAAATTTTATATCTTCATTATTATTTTTAATACAACAAATTAAAATCTTCTCACATTTTATTTGTGCTTGATATAATTTCATTTATGCGCATATGCTCCAATC